AAAAGTTATATGTAACTGACCACTCCTAATATTGAAAAAACTTGAATTTTTAACTTTTTTGCTTATATAATTGATGATATCTAAAATTAGGCCTGTAATTTATTAAAAATATTTTCCTATTATATAGCCCTAATATAAATGAGTATAATTCTGTAATAAAATTTTTTACAGCTCCTATAGTTTAAAAGTTATATCAAACTGACCACTACTATATTTATGTTATAAATCTTTATATAACTACTAAATTGTCTATAATAGTAAGTTCATCGCGATTTTTTTACTCTCATTAATCTAATTAATAGTTGACAACAAACTTTACCCTAATTAACCACAAACATTTCACTAATTAACCACAAATTCAATAATTGCTTCAGGCGTTGACCTACTTAATATGTATTATCAATTTAGTCACGCATGATTTCACATGGCATGTAGTCTAATGATGGTATGAATGGGGTTTTGTTTTTGTTATTAATGTGTAACGTCATTTATGTATGGGTCTTACCATATTTGTATTGATTTCAATGGGGATTTGCTTGAAAAACACTGGGCTGTCCATAAATAACGTATCGAATTTAGGGGTGGGGGCAAGAGGGGGAAGGAAGAAATGAGGGGAAAATCCCTGCCTTTGNATAATAATAAAAGACTTGAATGCGGTATTTGTAACACAGAATGGACAATTAATTTCCCAAAAGAAAGCAAATCAATTTGGTTATATTTTTATAAAAATCCATCCGAACTAATAGTTCTGTTTATAATCATTTGCTGTATTATAACATTTGGTTATTTAATGATTTGGGGAATGGTCATATCTTATAACCGTATACCCGATAGTCACATTCACGAAGAAAAGGAAGTATTAGTATTTAGCATTTTCCCACTATTTTACTCAATTATTGGATTGTGTATAACTATAGAAAGATATCATATATGGCTTAACGATAGTTCTTTATCCGACTATGATAGTCAATTTTTGGATTGTGTATAATACTAAATAAATATAATGAGTCAACGAATTCAAAAATAATAATAGTCTAATGTATAATGAATTTATCTATATATTTTATTCACAAACTGTATAATTTGTATTATTATAACACTTTAATTGATGTATATCTCTTATAAATATAAATTTAATTAAATAAATAATTAAAATTAAAACTATAAACAATATCAATATATATTTATACATTATTATATTACTCTAATTATATAAATAACCTTAATATTTGTATTGTTGCTAATATTAAATAAAAGACAACATTTAAATTTAATAAATCATTTATTAAAATCATAAAAATAAATACAATCATTCAAGTTATTTAAGTAATTAATTTAAAAAAATCGGAATTAGTATCAGATGTAATGTTTTTAAGAGGTTCTCGAGGGTCATCGATGATTTTCCAATAATCAGATAATGCCTTTATTAATTTATTATAGGCTTTTAGTCGTTTAGCCGGTGTCTGTGCGAGATTCCATTTTAATCCCAAATAACCGATTTCGTCATCCAATGCTCTTCTCTTGTCAATTATAATCATTCTTGAAGAGTTTGGATGAAACGGAACTGGAGTATTGCTTGATATCTGTAAACTTCCGTCGTTTTCCTTATCATCGGGGTCAACTATCACAACAGTAGCCATATTTTGAACGATGAAATTAAATGTATTATAATGATTAATTAATTTTGAACACTATTTGAAGACAACAAAAACAAAACTAAACAACAAAACATTAAATAAAAAGAGCTTGAAATTTGCTTTAGTGAGTTGTTGACCTACAATGTATATACTAGTTATAAATAGTTCCGTATATTATATACAGGTATATAAAGCAAGCAATCAGTCACGCATCTCAAGCGCGTCGTTCCGGTATTTCTTTGTGTTTCATGATGTGTATAAAAAACATTATATGTGATTACTGTTATGTAGTGTATATAATTTTAATTGTTATGGTTCAATGATTCCGTTATTTTAATGTAGTACATCTCTTTCTTTCTTTCTCTATTAGCCTATTTATATATATAATTTACTATAATTTAACTTTTTAACTTTTATATAATTAGGTATATCTTAAATTCGGCCTGTAATTTATTAATAATATTTTCCTATTATATAACCCTAATATAGGTGAGCATAATTTATTAATAAAATTTTTTACAGCTCTTATAGTTTAAAAGTTATATGCAATTTTTAAATTTTTTAAACTTTTTTTGACTTTTAATTGATGATATCTAAAATTAGGCCTGTAATTTATTTAAAATATTTTTCTATTATATAGCCTTAATATAGCTGAGTATAAATCAGGAATAAAATTTTTTACACCTCCTATGGTTTAAAAGTTATATGCAACTGACCACTCGATTTTTCAAAAAACTTTAATTTTTTAACTTTTTTACTTATATAATTGATGATATCTAAAATTAGGCCTGTAATTTATTAAAAATATTTTCCTAATATATACCCCTAATATAGATGATTATAATTCTGTAATAAAATTTTTTACACCTCTTATAGTTTAAAAGTTATATCAAACTGACCACTACTATATTTATGTTATAAATCTCTATATAACTACTAAATTGTCTATAATAGTCAGTTCATCGCGATTTTTTTACTCTCATTGACCTAATTAATAGTTGACAACAAACTTTACTCTAATTAACCACAAACATTACACTAATTAACCACAAATTCAATAATTGCTTCAGGCGTTGACCTACTTTATGTGTATTATCAATTAAGTCACGCATGATTTCACATGGTTTGTGGTCTAATGATGGTATGAATCGGGGTTCTTTTTTTGTATTTATTGTGTAACGTCATTTATGTATGAGTTTAATATCATTTGCATTGTATTCAATGGGGATTTGCTTGAAAAACACTGGGCTGTCCATAAATAACGTATCGAATTTAGGGGTGGGGGCAAGAGGGGGAAGGAAGAAATGAGGGGAAAATCCCTGCCTTTGACAGTGCTTTGCGGCTATAAGGGCTCCTTACCTACTGACTATACACTCACCACTCCGTGTCATACATAAATAATAAAAATAATTGTAATGAACATAACATACATGTCAGCAAAATGTTTAGACAATACGGGATTATTAGGCTGTTTGTTCACGATATGCCCATATCCCATTTGGTAATACTGTTCGCGGGCTAAGTGAACGGTCGTGTATGCGTCCACTTGTTTCATAATTAACTCGGCGTTGAATAACCACATAATCACCGCTTCATTCCTTTTGGCCCGAATGCCATCCAATATGGCCGACAATTTGTAGAAAAAATCACCCCAACGGATGTCAACGTAGTTTTGCTCATATTTAGATAGAGCCCGCTTTAATACACGCATTTCCAATGGTGTGGCCCTTTTCTATTTGCAGTAAAATACACAATACAATATTTAAACATTGTAGAAATTATTAGTTTATTGAACTGCATTTTAAAATAATATTAAACATCTAAATTTAGATTTAATTATAATTAAATGTGATTAATATATAGTGGGCAGTTGGCTATCATACTAGTAATGTTTTTGTAAATAAATGTGTTAAAACTGACGCTATGGTGCAATACTTATAAAAAACATAAAAAACCTTACAAGCTTTGTTAGTGATTAAAGCAAAAAACTATAGAATATGTAATCGGTATTATTGTACCCGAATTGAGTTGAGGTCCGCTGAGGCCAAATATAGCCGGGGCTCCACTTTGGGCCTGAGCTCGAGGTCCTCTAACGAGTCAATCACTTTATACGGATTAGTGATCGTAAACGACAGTATCTCCTCATTAATGATCGTCAAAATAATTAGTTTTACCACAAATAGTATACCGATTATCATTAAATATCTGTGCGCCGATTGCTTTACTCTAATCGCTATAATAAATATTTATTTAAAATAAATTAATTGTATATGTTTTGATGTAAAATTCAGGTTTAATTATTATCTAACATACCGTCCAATAACATAGCGCTCAACACAATCCACATAATGTCGAGAATAGATTTCTTGATTAATGATATAATTCGTTTTCTATTGTTTTAATGCCAACATAAATAATTATTTTAATTTTATCTACATAAAAATTAATAAGTCATACACTTTGTTGGCCACACGTTTGCCCGCAAACAATTGAAATATTGTCGTGCGGTTGACATCAATCGACATAATGAACGAGATTGTTATGAATGACAGCCACAGACATAACCAAAACTAAATTAATTAATTGTGTAATTAATATATCGCAAAACACATACTGTAATTGATTTCAACCCAAAGTGTGGACAAATGATGTTTAAGTACCACTTTACCCAACACCCCACAACCTCAATAAGAAATGCATTTTAATTTGTTTATAACTCACGTATTAATCAAATATCTTAAGGACACCAAAGTATTGATTGGTATCAGTGTTTGGATAGAAACCTCCGAGTATTGAAAGGGCCGGATAGTTGGTGGCGCCCAATATGTCACCAAACTGGAGCATCTGATCATTTATTTGGTATCGATCGAGCAATATGTCAACATCCTAGTGGGAAATAATTTTATTAAAATGTTATATTGGTTGATTTTATGTATCAAAAATATAACTCCAATTTAATAGCATACCTTTGCGTAAACGTATTTCAGACTGTTTTCCATATAATAGTTGTACCCTGGTAGATTTAACACGCGTGATTTATTTGTCTCCAACATTATAGCTCTGAAAAAGTAGCAACAGCATAAAATTAGTTTATTTAATGTATAGTAATATTATATTTACAATTCTATTAAATATTAATTTTATTAAATAATCTAAAACTATATTAATCTTTAAGTTAAACATAAATAAAAATCAGATTGTCCTAATTTTTGCTATAAAAATGTAATTAAACTATATTGATACTTATTCTAGGTCAAAAATTAAAAAGCATTCAAAAAAATGTAAATTGTTTATGAAATTTTTTAATTTAAAAATATTTACCCATATCGGGTGCGTCTGACCAGTTCCTTGAGTAGGAAATAGTCCATAGAGCACAACAGTTTGATTTCAAATTCAGGGGCCTGTAATTTGTGCAAATTGTATATTACTATTGTTGAATGTCATATTGGTAGGTGCATCATTTACCATTTGCATCCAGGTAGCGGTAAAGTTGCCGATTGGCTTGAAATCATAATTAAAAACATAGGGTTCCGTTTCGTAGCCAATATCCACATCGCAATAAATGTTAGTATATTTGGGTATTTCCATAATTTTTTGAACTTATTTGGATATGGTGACTATTAATTTATCATAATAAATATTGTTGTTACCAAAAATTTAGGCTACACTATTTTGAATGAAATATAGTCAAGTTTTTTAATTTGTCGCGAAAGTACATTTCCTCTCCCATTACGACCCCCTTTGACGACGACTACAGCAAACTCTTGCCCTGAGTCTCCACTCAACCTGAGCACAGGTATCGTCGACTCAGCACTTGTAACCTAAAGTCCAGTATATTTCCATGATTTGTATTAGTCGACGATCTCCTATATAAGACACTCTCTATATGTAAAACAGTCTCATTATTGTTCAGTCTATCGCATACGTCGATACCTATTGTAACTCTCTTTGTATAAGTAATCCTAATAAACGTTGTGTTAGTATTGTAACCAAATGTGTGGTTATTGAGTCCATATAACGGACAGGTATACCACCGGCGACTAAACCTCTAGTTAGTGATCACTGTTCGCGTTAGCCAGTGCTGGCCGTCAGTTCCGATCACAACAAATTAATGCTTATATTTTCAGATTGAAAAAACATTAATATTTAATGATTGTTGAAATTGAAATTTAGTACAATAACCTGATTCTTATGTTTACGTATAAATATTAAATTGTAAAATATTAATTGTTATTAAATAATTAATTTTATTGTCATCATAGATTTAGATACTGAAACAAATAAATTTATATAAGATATTTTAAATTGAATTTTTCAATTACTTTTTACATAAATATCATTGTAAAATTAATGTATTTTATATCACGTTTTTATACAGATTTTCGTATTTTCAAGTAGTGGTACCCAGTTCAATTAGAGGTAATATTAGTTGAACTACCATTACTAATGGTCCATTAGTACACTGTAGTATATAATACATTAATCTCCATTAAACGCTATTTTCATTTATATTACATTTTATGATTTATATTAATGAATAGTTTTATTAAATATTTATTAGTTAATTAAAAAATAAATTGTGTATTTTTAAAACTTTTATAAAGCAAGAGTTTATATAAGAGGTTATTAACATATTTTAATATGTTTTAAAATAAAAGTATAAAACATATTGTCTAATTATTATAATTATATATAATTTATTGTTCCATGAATAATAAATTAAATTCAAAGTAAATTTCTTTATTAATATTTTAAATATACATACCATTTGTTTCCAAACAGCGGTAAAGTCACTCACGGGCTTAAATTAATAATTAAACCAATATGGTGTTTTTGCACAACCGATTCTAAAATATCAATCTAAGTTAGCCGTATGCAATAAACCAGGCATTGTACAACTCAATTATTATCAATTCTGGACTATCTACAATTACTTATCAACTTATAAACACGTTTATTTAAAGTTAGTTAATATCTAAAGTTAGATAATTAGTATTTCTACTTAAACATCTATTCTTTACATTATTGACAAAATAATTTTTATGTAAAATTTTTTGTTTTAATTAATATTTTTATTAGTAGTTTAAAATACAATGACTTATTTATGAAATATTTTAATTTAGCATATTAGAAATATTTGTTGTAGTATATGATATAAAATTTACTACATGGTACAATATGGTACAATATTTATATAACCGTTTAGTTTAAAAGAAAAATGTGCACAACTTTAATAAAAAATAAAAACTTTTATATGCTTATTAAAAATGTAGTCAACAAGTTAATAATTTGGATTTTTTCATAAAAATTGTCTATCATAACAATTAATAATACATTTAAAAATAATTATAATAAAATAAACAAGGATATATTTATATTCTGTAAACAATATTTGTTTTGCAGATATAGTAAATGAAATAATTTACATTTTTGATAAAATTTTTGGAGAATATAGTTTTTATTTGTATTACACTATTTATAATAATAGACTAACAATCAAACAATCTGACGGTTATATTAAATATGGCATAAAGATTGCTTTAGCATAGCACACAGCAGCCCTCTTCACAGCACTTCCCATTTCGCTAATCATTTTTATTATTCATATTAATGCTAAATATTTATAATATTAAAATATATTGCACTATTAATGTTTAAGTGTTTTATTAAACATATGAATACATAAATTGCTTTCGGAATGTTGTTTGCGTTAATTATTTAGTGCTTGTGATGACTAAAATTTAAATACAATTCACTAATAAGTGCAGCAAAACAGACGCCAATACCGCAAAGATAGGGACCAATTGCTATCTTCATGGCATCCATTGTCATCAATGCAATACTCTTTGCCATCGGTTTATACTTATAGTTCAAATCTCCGTATAATTTGAATCCGTTTTTTGCAGTCATTTCTCTCATCTTTGAGAAGAGACCGCATTCTAGCGATGACTTTAATCTACAATTTATCAATTAATTAACTTAATGTTAATTCTATAAACGAGTAATAAATTTATTTATTTGACTATACATTTGGTTCAATTGAATGGCGAGTATTGAGTCCGCGCTATCCTTATGAATGAGGAAACCATAGGGTCTGTCAAAGTACTCATCTCTGGCCATATGAACGGTGAATCCAAATGTTTCCGTTTGTTTGGTATAGAAATCCATCGCAAATTCCGATGCGATAAACACATGACTTCTCTTATCCCTCACTTTTACCATGAGTTTTGTGAACTCGGAATACATTCCCGTATAAGTGAAGTCAAAATAATTTTGATCAAGCACGTTTAGAGCCCTGTTTATAATCCGGGTCTCTATCGGAGTCAACATTTGCTGACGAATTGTATTAGGAGTATAGTTAATAACCAAGATTGAATTGTTATGAAATGAATTATTATGTTTACCTGAATTTGTTTTAGTTCTGCGGTTGACATGTATAACAATGGCTGCAAATCCTGTCTCTCATCCAAGTCTTGCAAAGAGTTTATAAATTTGTGTGGATTTTGAATAGTTATTGACAAAATTAATTGATTAAATATAGTTTGTATAAAAAATTTTGCCACAATTAGTATCCCAATAATTAATATATATCTGAATGTATTGTGTTTTATGCGAACATCTATTAAATAAATAATTTATTATTTTTATATACTGTATTTTGTTATTTGCCTTACATTGCAAAACGTATGCATTTAATACAATCCATAAGTTATCGCAAAACATGTAAAAGTTGCCATGGTTAATCCTAATAATAAAAATTTCCACGTTTATTATAGAGTATTTTTGTTTAAGTAAACACAGTTTTAATTACTTTAATTGATATACGAATGACTTATACAATACTTCTGACCATAATATTAAGGAGCATATCGCATAAAATAACACAAAAAGTAGCCAAAACTATTTAAACACACAACAAATATACTAATCATGATAATATAATGTTTCAGTTCATCAAAAATAAAATTACGTAATTATCGAAAATGTGAAAAACAGCGGAATATTGATGTGAATCGATGTTTGGATAAAAGCTACTCATTATAGTAATGGCCGGAGAATTGTATGCGATTTGAATGCTTGCAAACGATTGTATCATTTCATTGACTCTCAGATACATCAATGTTATGTCCACTTCCTGTTTGTTATATGAAAGAGTTTATCGCATACTAAGGTATATATCCTATTCATCAAATATAATATTAGATTGACTAAAAAGTGAAATCCATTATCTAATATTGTAATTAGACATTAAAATAGTACTAAAATACTTATTACAATGAGATAAAACCATCTAGATTTAAAATTTTGGCCAACGGACATATTTAGTGATTAAAATCATTACAATTAAGTTAATAATCGAGTTTAAAAGTTATAATTTTTGCGCCAATATTGTATGTGTATTTCGTTCATATTTATAATAAATTAACCTTATTCATATATTCATAATTACTAATTATTTTACTATAAATGAATGCGTAAGATGAGGTTTTATCAATAAAAATTATAGTTCAATATTTGTAATTATAAGTTTTATATTGTATATATAATGACATATTATTTATTACTAATGACTTATGATTAAAGAGAACCACTTTATCAGATATAAAGTTTTTTCTCACTAGTAGATAAAGCGCCGTTATATCCCCAAACTATCTCGACTTCAGTCAACACAATGTTCTCAAATACAGCTAACAAAAAAGCAACAGCAAGTCACCCGAGCTGGGCTTCCGGGTCCGGAGTACCAACCCCTACCCTCCAAAGGGGCGGGGCCAATTCTTCGGCATTAACCCCAGTGTCGGGGACTTTTCTAAATAATCCAATTGACCCAAAATTAATTAAATATTTAGAGGAATTCAGATACCCATTATTCTACTTATTAAATAAGTTTGATTGATATATACTATAATATATTTGTTCATCAATTACATTGATAATTTGGCTAAATGTTCTTCTAAACGAAATGGTCACTACTGGAAAATTTTCGGGCCAAACATATAACATTTCTTACGACTTTCTCAAGAACATTTCGTTTATTCAGGTCGTCTTGGTTTGGGGGTATATGGGCGCCTTTTCTACTTTCTCAGAGCAGAAAATTTGAGCAGAAATAATTCTCTCTACTTATGATGCATATATGAATAAGGTTAATTTATTATAAATATGAACGAAATACACATACAATATTGGCGCAAAAATTATAACTTTTAAACTCGATTATTAACTTAATTGTAATGATTTTAACCACTAAATATGCCCGTTGGCCAAAATTTTAAAGCTAGATGGTTTTATCTCATTGTAAAGAGTATTTTAGTACTATTTTTAATGTCTAATTCCAATATCAGATAATGGATTTCACTTTTAAGTTGAATTGAGAAAATTTCTATATTAATATACATATACTTTAATATTTTAGCGTTTGATGTTAATATAAAATCATTCATTGACTAATAGTATATACTATATACCTTAGTATGCGATAAACTCTTTCATATTACAACATTAATTAATTATTTACAAATATATAGTTATTTTAATTGTTATTATAATATTAACCTTGTTATAAATATAATCAACAAACGGCTCGGCAGTATAATTATATCCTGATAAACTAAAATGTCGCTTTTCATCAATCATTACTGGTATGGCTCTGTGTAAATTAAATATAATTAAGTTAATTAATTTTATTAAATTATTAATAGTATAATCACTCGTAATGTGTTCTCCTTATAAGTTCTCGGAGTATAAAATAATAGGGCCCACAAAGTGCTCTCACATCTGTTTGTTGTAGCTAGCACATTTAGAAATAATTTTAAAAGTCAACAAGTTGTTTTGTATATCAAACAAACCATTTGATTCCAAGTAACCGTAAAATTTCCTTTTGGCACAAAATCAAAATCAAAACTCTGTCCATCCGTTTCGTAGCCTATTTTAGCGTCACAATAAAAATTAGCTGATTTTGGTGCAAATTGATCAGCTAGGTCATTTAAAGCGAATTTTAATTTCCGCATTGTTAATTATTGTTAATTAAATAAATAAATAATTTTTAGATTATATGAACAAGAATTAACATTAACACTAGTCTGGAGAAATCTTTAAAATGACAAACATCTCAATACTATTGACAAAATGTTTAATTATTTAATTTAATAAATAATAAAGTAAAGTAATTTAAGTAAGTAATTTATCACAATTTGTTTTCTATTATAAAGTACATTATATGAAAATAATGTACTAATTCCATTAAGGTTATTTTAGCACAATTGTAAAAATAGAAAACAAAGTGGGGTAAAACAACAATTTATGCAGCTAGTATATTATTTTCATATAATGTACTTTATAATAGTAAACAAATTAGGATAACACAGCAATTCACAAAATAATATTTTATTAATATTGCGTATTATTTAGTTACATACATGTACTCAATAATCAATAAAATGCAAATTTTATAATTAATGTTAAATAATATGTAAATATAGAAAAAATATATTAATTAGTTGATATATTTATTCACAAATAAAATTCTAATCATATAAAGTATAGTATATAATCTAATTGTGTAATATTAATTTATGGAAATTACTAAATAATTAATTTAATTTTTACAAAAAGAAATTATTTATAATTAATGTATAAATTTAATTAATTTAATGCAATATGCTAAAAATATTAAAAATGATATCCTAATATAAGAGGGATTCTAAAAATAACAGTTTTTGATTTAACGTTGAATAATTTTGGTTAAATATTATGTGAGTTTTAGTGATCACTTATATTACAATTATGTAAACATTCAAATATAATTGGTGTAGTTTTCATAAATGTAAAATTTTTACAATTTACTTATAATTAAATATTTAAGTATATGCAATGTTTTATTGTAATATGAAAAGTGCTATTTCTTTTCCATAATGATAACAAATTATAACATTCGTAAATAAGCACAAACATAGCGATGATTATGCCTAACATATAGGGTCCTGCAGCGATTTTAATTTGATCAAGCATCATTTGATCATTTAGAGGAGGCTCGGAAAATGGCTTATAATTATCATTATAATTATCCCTATATAAGATATAAGCCCATATACCAGTATATTCGCGCCATTTCGCCCATAAACCGCATTCCATAGCCGATATCAATCTATATAATTATTATATTTAAATAATTAATTAAAATATATACCCAAACATTTATAAATAGCTTACATCTCTTTAAACGCATCCCTAACCATAGCATTACAAGTTTTACTAATGACCCAACCGTATGGTCTGTCAAAGTACTGCCGGCGCGACAAATGTAATGTCCGTTTGAATTCATCCGATTGTTTGATAAATAAATCAATGTTTAGATATGAGGCGATTAACACGTCGGAGCGATTCTCTCTCAGTCCTCTCAATAGATCCGTATAATTATTATACAATTGGCTGTGCGTGTAATCGATGTAAGTTTCGTTTAGCCCTTTAGAAATGGCCTTGTTTAGCACCCGGGTCTCTATAGGGGTCGCCATTCCCTGTTAATTAGATGGTTATTAAATGAATCAATTTGTACATTAAATACTTGTATAATTTGTAGATCGATTTTAGGCATAAATATCCTTGGATAAAGTGCCATAGTCTCCAAGTCTTCCAAACTGTCAATCATTTCATACGGGTTTTGAATAGTAATCGACAAAATTAATTGATTAAAATGCGTTAATATAAACAGTTTGGCCGCAAATAATAGTCCCATAATTAATAGATATCTATGCGTTGAATGTCGTAATTTAATTGCTGTAAAACACTCCACATTAAAAATATTTATTAGTTTACATTAAATGTTACCTACGGCATATTAATAACGCATTTACAGTTGCCCAAAAATGCTCACACAGCAATTGCCAGTACATTAATTGCTGTTTAATTCTATTTAATTAATTATTAAGCTAAATTATAAAATATAATAACCATTAATTTGCAATTCAAATGCAACTGACCCGAATAGATTATAAATTGTTTTTATAATGTGCAGCACTTCGGCCCATAGAACAGTTGATGCCATTATTATTGTTAACAATATTAACAGCCATATCTATAAATTATAGTAATTATTTTTATTAACTTATCATTATAAATCTAATAAAAATAATTCACATAAATATCAAATATATTGACAACACTGTAATAAGTGTTTGCATTAATAATCGGGTATTTATTGGCGCTCATAATGGCCAGAGAGGGGGAGTTGAAGGGCGAGTATATGTTGGCAAATGTTGGTATCAATGAATTCATTTGATGGTATTCTAGACTCAGGTCGAGACCCTTTGTAATAATAAATTGCATTTAATATAATTATAAATTAAATAATGTGATAATACTTTTGAATAAATGTTACTAATTGTTGGTTCTAAAATATATGTATGATTTGAATGAGTTATATTTAATAAATGTCCCACATCCAGTGGCACCGGTATAGCACTGAACGAGATAAAAAGTATTATAAATTGAAAATAATCATGATATAAAATGATTTAGTTATATACAGTACCTGTATTGCGTGCGTCTAACCAACT